GGATGTTGAACGCTCCCATACTGATAGCAGGAACGGGGCTGGAAATCCAGGTGCAAAGATTTTAAAGGATGAAAGGAAGAAGTTGATAAGTGGGATAATTAGTGAAAGATTAGTTAAATTCTGGCATATTTGTAAGCATTCAACAGATGTTAGCCGTCAATAATCAGATGGCCGTAATGAGGAGGTGTTTTTGCTGGATGGCATGAATCTTAAAGGGAGGGATTTTTTTTCCCTTGGAGTACCAACCAGCTCTTGTTTGGAAAATGAAAGTGTGGAGATGGAAAACTCCCCGCTCCTAACTCCAGGATGCACAGGAGAAGCATGGGGAAGAGCAGAGTGCTCGGGGAGAACTAAAGCAAGAAGATGGTGGGAACAGTCCAGGAGGACGTTGAGCCTGGGAATTTCTTTACGCATGAAGATAGGTTCCAAAAGACTCACAGGGAAGCATGCGAAGGAGGCCTTTTGCTGCAAGAGGATGCAGGCAAAGAGTAATCATGTGAGGTTGAACTAGTCAAGGACCTGAAAGACTGAATGGTTTTTTCAGTAGTACATTGTCCTTAGTTTGTGACAGTGTTCTCTCCATGCATATGACAGAAAAAAAAATATGAACCAAAAGTTGGTGAATTGAGCTAATTGAGAAAGTAAGGTATAGTCCAAGTGAATGAAATAATTTATGTAGTCTGGGCGAATAGGTAAAGTTTGATAGTTCACAAACACATGAATTTGAATGTCCATTAAAATTTGAATGGCATCAGTATCGCTGCAGCTGAGGTTACTGAGAATCTAGAAGGGCTTCCTTGCAACCTATTTGTTGGCTTCAGTGATGAGGCTCACCAGCACCGCACCATCCCTTCATCCATGTTGATTCATCTCGAAAGTCTTGGTTCTTCATAATTTTAAGGTTGTGATAAAGAACTTTCTGGAACAATTTGGAATGTGAGACAGGTTTTCTGATACAAGAAGTCCCTGGGGAAATGTGATTCTCTACCATATGGTGGCTGTCATGTTTTTAGCATACTAAAATTAAAAAAAAAAGGCTTGGAGTATTCTGTTTATTTATCTCATCTACTGAACTTCAGGCAAATAAGAAAAAAATGCAAATTAATAGCTTGAAATGATTTTACATAGCTAGAATTCCAGCTGTTAGTGCAATAGGAGAGAACTTATATGAAACCGTGTAATAGAGTATTAGTGTACACAGATGAATAACACAGTGAGATAGTGCTTATTTTATGTTGTTCCAGAGCCCTTCTGAAAATGAGAAAGAATTCTCTAATAATCCAAACTCTCAGTTCTGTTTAGAAAATGTTTCAGACCCTTTCTGAGAAGGTGCTGGATTTAGATCCTCTGTAGGTATATTAGTTTCCCAGGGCTGCTGTGACGAATTACCACAAACTGGGTGGCTTAATACAGTAGAAATTTATTCTCTCACAGTTCTGGAAGCTAGAAATCTGAAGTCAAAGTGTCAGTAGGGCCATGTTTTCTCTGAAGGCTCTAGGAGAGAATCTGTTCCTGCCCTTCTCTTAGCTTCTGCTCTTGCTGGTAATCCTTGGCGTTCCTTGGCTTGAAGACACATCACTTCAATCTCTGCATTGGTAGAGGACACCTGGTTTTCTCTCTGTGTGTCTGGCTCTTCTCTTTCTATAAGGACATCAATCATACTGGGTTAAGTATGACCTCTTCTTAACTGACTATACCCACAACAACCCCATTTCCAAATAAGGTCACATTCCGAGGTTCTGGAAAAGACATGAATTTGGAGGGGACACTATTCAACCCAATACAGGAGGCTTCTAAAATGAATAGCAAATGGCTTCTGTCTTCAGGAAGATGTAGCTCCTGCTGTAGTTGGGAAAACTATAGTGCAAAGCAATGTGTTCACTTGGTAATCGATACAGAATACCATGGACACATTGAGGGGTGAGTGATTGGTTGTGACTCCAGGGTAGTCATGGAAGGCTTTAGGGTAGAGGTAGTGACAGACCTGAAGGATAACAGTGTATTAGCTGGTAGAGAGGGGGAGGCTGGGCCTTCTGGGCTGAGGGTCTCATCTGAGCAAGCACAGAGATGCAAGTGTGCATCCACTGTGCGAGATGCCCAAAACGTCTGGAGTGTATGGCTAGAGGATAGCAGGCCTTTGGGTAGTGGTTGCATGTGTTGAGTGGCCATTGGGAGGGGATGGAGAAGGGAGGAGGGATGAAGTACAGGTGGAACAGAGGGAGATAAGAAAGGTCATGGAGACCCTGTTGTTCATGTCCATGAATGACAGCCAGAATGGGATCTTCGAGATGTAGTGGTTAAAGCGGGAGTTCAAGGAGAAGCTTGTGAACAAGAAACAGTGAACAGGAAGTCAAAGACAGCATCATTTTAATCTCTTCCCTGTGGCATTAGCACAAGGAGTATGTAGTAGGTTCTCCTTAAATGTTGCTTTGAATTAAATATGAGTGAGGAAAAATGACAAGGCAGTTTTGCCCTGGGTAATAAGTTCTGCTTCAGAGTAGAACTGCTTTGAAAGATGATCTCAGGAACCTCCTTATGAGCAGGTGGAGAGTAGGTGGCTGCTTACATGTGTTTGATTTCTGAGTCATCAGAAAGGCTCCTTTGCCTCCTAAAATATCTGCTTCACCCAGGCTGTGGGTACTTTTAATTCCACTATTGGAGGTTGGTTTCTCTGTTGAAAGGCAGATGCCCTCTGGAGAGAGGATATCCATTTACCCTCATCAGTCTTTTGCACCTTAATATGGGAGTTTTCTTAGCCTTTCCTGCATGGCAGTTTTTAAAGAAAAGCACATGGAGGGAAAAGGGGACCCAGGAAAGGAGTACTGGACATGCCAAAGATAAACTTTGTCAGAGTTGACCCTGGGGATGTGGTCTGTTGGCCTAGAAGAATCCACTATTATTTATTTGCTGGTGTATGTTGGACAAGAAGTGATTATTTCTTTTCTAAGTTTTATGGCTACAAAATAGTTGTTTATTTGTTTTATTTTTTAAAAGGTGCAATAAATCCCACCTCCCCCACCCTCACCTTAACAAAAATAATTTGTGTGGCAGCCTGATCTGTGGTCTTTATTGACAGGCTATGCTACATACGGTCTGTGCGTTCACATGTCCGGGAAGGCTAATAATAGCTACCGTACCAAATATCCCCTGAAGTTTCAGTGGCTTATTTCAGAGGTTTCATTGTTCATCCACATCATAATATGATTCACACTGATTGGTGGGGACAGGGTATTCCATCCATGTAGTCTTTCAGGGACGCAGGCTTCTTCCATGCTCTGTGTCCACCATCTTTAATACTTGTCCTCAGGGTCTCACTAACCTCATCTGGAAGGCATGCCAAGGGGAAGAGAAAGCACACTTACTTTTAACTGCCTTGGCTTGGAAATGACACACATTTTGCCTCATATCCATTGCTGAGAACCAGTCTCAGAGACCCACCCAGATGGGAAGAGGCTGGGAGACGTAGTTTAGCTGGCTGTCCAGGAAGAGGAAGCAGCCTTGGTGAGTCTCTGACACAGGCCTATCAGAAGGCGTTTATACATTTTCCTTCTGTCTGTAACATAAACTGACCCTTGGGGGTTGTTATTAAGGGAACAGGGGACAAGAGAGACTAGCAGTGACCTGGAAACTGACCAGTGTTTAGAATGGTGTAAAGTCATTCATTCTAGTTGGTGAAGGGCATCATCCTGCTGTTGGATTATTGCTGTGTAAGGGAGACCAAAGTTATGGTGCCAATAAATGTCTCTATTTTGTGTGCTTGTTTATTTGTTTGTTAATCAATGTAGGAAAAGCTAATGGAAATCTCCCTTCCCTACACCTTGGAATGACTTTGGAATAGGAATTTTGCGGTTCTAAATGCAGTGGCTTCTGTGATTTTAGCATTTCCTCTAGTCCACTTCCCTCATTGTCTAGATGAGAGAGGCAATAGAATTGTTCAAATTCACATAGCAAGTTGGTGGTTTATTTGCATCTCAAACCCTGTTTTTCAGATTTCTACTCTGATGTTCTTTTCACTACCACTATTCCCTTAGAGAATCACTATTTGGAGAAGAGACCTGCCTTGGCTGGGTCTGCAGAATGGCAGGAGGCTTGACCAGCCGAAATCAGAAGTTTCCTTCTAGCTCGGAGATTCCTTGATTGATTGTGTTTAAATATATGGTGTCTGATTATATAATCCCTGGCCTGACGGGAGTGATGTAACTTGAAAGAATTTGTTTCCTGAGAAAACAGAATCTTAGTTTTTTATTTTCTTAGCCGTTTCTTTAGTTCATTTTTATCTTTTTTTAAAAAACTGTTTGCTTTTAAATATATATATATTTTTCTAACTGTTAAAGTAATAATTTCAGTTATAGAAATTAAGTAAATATATTCAAGTGTAACAGAAAAATATATAAATATAACAAAAAAATTTCCTATAATTCTGTAACTCGATAATGCATTGGTAACCACTATCAATATTTTACATTTCTCTCCATGTGTTTCCTAGCCATTTTTTGAACACATAAATACTTGTAAACTTATGTACAGTATAATTAGAATGAAATATACAATATGAAATAAATATACAATTCTTAAAATATTTCATATTACTTAGTATGAAATATTACATAACCCTTAAAATTGTTTTAAAATAGTAAAGATATGAAAAATGCTCATATATCTTTGTATACTTATCATAATAATTAGAATAAATTAGAATAAAATTATAATTTTGTCTTGTTTGTTTTGTTTTGTTATCTGCTTTTTAATGGAAGTAGAAAAAAGCAAATCAAAATCTCCCTTTCATATATCTTGGAATAAAATTCTAATTATATCGTGCATGACTGTGTCTGAGCATTTCTCCATATCGTGACTTATTTTAAAACATTTTTTAGAGGGTTGCATACTGTTGCATCTTGTGGGAATACACTATGCTGAAGGAAACAGCCCAGGTGGGGAAGAGGCAAGGAGTAGTAGTATCTTTGGTTCTTGGCCCTAATGTTCTGCTCCTCTTTTCCCAGGGCATCAGCAGCTTGTTTAGCTCACTGAAGGTCGTTCGGCTGCTTCGTCTGGGGCGAGTGGCCCGTAAGCTGGATCACTACATTGAATACGGAGCGGCCGTGCTTGTCTTGCTGGTGTGTGTGTTTGGGCTAGCTGCTCACTGGATGGCCTGCATTTGGTACAGCATTGGGGACTACGAGATCTTTGATGAAGACACTAAGACCATCCGCAACAACAGCTGGCTCTACCAACTGGCGATGGACATTGGCACCCCTTACCAGTTTAACGGGTCTGGCTCAGGCAAGTGGGAAGGTGGCCCCAGCAAGAATTCTGTCTACATCTCCTCGTTGTATTTCACTATGACCAGCCTTACCAGCGTGGGCTTTGGCAACATTGCCCCATCCACAGACATTGAGAAAATCTTTGCGGTGGCCATCATGATGATTGGCTGTAAGTATGACAGTTGCTGCGGCTGGGTGGGGGATGGGCAGGAAGCATACTGTTTGGACATCCCTTCCATTGGCTGGAAATAGGGCAGTGACTACAATGCTGGCAGGATCAGGATCAGTGTAATAACTGAAACTAAGAAAGGCTTTTTTTTTTTTTAAAGATGAGCTTTACAGTTTTCTTGATAATTTAAGTATTTACTGCAAAGTGTTTACTGAAAAGAAATTTAGAAGATACAAAAGAGCACCAACCATAATTGTGCCTATCAGAGATAACTATTATTACCTTTGGCCTCTCCCTTATAGATTACTTTCTATCTATATCTGAACACATAGATACAGATTTTTATAAAGTTATAATGAGATCATGCTATATTTATAACTTGGTAACCTGCTTGCTTATAGAATAGTGAACTGTGAAAGTCTTTCCGTGTTAGTTTGAACATAGCTCTAGATCTGTGCAGTCCCATATGGTACCAGAAAAAGAATGTATGAAAAAAATGTGAGATAGCTCATTAATTATCTTTTATATTGGTTACATGATGAAATGATGATATTTTTATATAGTGGGTTAAATAAAATATTCTATTATGATTAATTTCATATTTCTTTTTAAATTTTTTAATGTGGCTCCTAGGAATATTTTTATTGCATTTTCTATTTTTCATACATTTTTGATGTCCCAAATCCAAAAAATTTCCAAATCCAAAGAACAAAACAAATCCCCCCCAAAAAAACCCACACAGAACAAAAAGGCTCCTGTTCAGTTGAGAAGTGATGGGTTATTGGATTAACTTGACTGGACTGAAAAACAAAAACAACCTTAGTTCTTGAGGAAGGTGCTTCAATCTGTCTCTTACCCATTGACCATTGCGTAGCTCTTGCTAATGCCGGGTCTGGGCTGGAAACCATTAATGAACTCTCTTCATTGAAGGGAGTCGTAGGGAGAAGTAGACCTCACTGGGCTGGGGAAAGCATATGCATTCGAATGGCGTGTACTCATTGTGAACCACTAAGTGCACCCTGTTGGCACTTCAATAACAAATGGCGACGTGGGCGAGGACAGTCCTCCCATGAAGCATCAGTATGGACAGGAGTCTGGTCACACACAATGAAGCTGGGCTCTGGTTACAGCAGGCAGAGACTGTTTTGCTCCTTGTGCTCCTTCAGAGTGGAGTTGACATATCAGTTGTTAAACTAACCAGGGAGTTCCAAGACCAGGAAACGTGAGGCATCAGTTTGTCTTGCTTTGTTCAACCCACCAGGGATCCAGCATCCCTCTCTGTGAAGGGGCTTTATGACCCCCAGTTGTCACATTGGCTGCTTGTCTCCTCCTTGTCTGCAACCAGCTCATCATGTCTGATGTGGTTCTTCCATAGCAGCCGTCTCTGCAAGGCACAGAGTTCACCTGAGTATTCACTCAATGTGTCTAGGTCTAATTGAGTTGTGGGAAAGGTGTGCTGATGGAGCTTTTGGGTTTGCTTCTTACTTTCAAATGGGTCTTAATAGAGATGATTCCCTGACCATGGGAAGCAGTGTTAAGTATCTATGGGTGGCTAATTGCTTTAGCTTAATTAGAACTTGAGATGCTTTCCCATGTCATGTAAAAGGATTTAAGACCTTTGCTCTTCTAGGACAGTTTCAGTCTTAACTGCACTAGTTTTCTAGGTTGTGCTTGCAGCATTTTTGTGAAACTTGGGGCACCAGGTAAGCAACCAGATGTGCCGTGTTCTGGGCCCAATTTCTGCCTCTAAGGTGGGGAGAGGAGACGTTTTGTCCATCGAAATACCTCATGATATGCATTGCAGGACATTTACTAAGAGTGGTCAGTTAGGAAATGGGCCCCATGTCATGGCCTCTCCAAAGGCTTTCAGATATGAGGAGACTTTGTTGCAACTTTTTACCTGGAAGAAAAGAAGAAAGAGAATGGTTCTGGTGGCATATAGTAAAGATAAGCAGGGGCGCCTGAGTGGCTCAGTCGGCTGAGCATCTGACTCTTGATTTAGGCTCAAGTCATGATTGCAGGGTCGTGGGATTGAGCCCCGTGTCAGGCTCTGTGTTCAGTGGGGTCTGCTTGCCCCTCGCCCTCTGCCCCTCCCCAACTCATGCACACCTGCACACTTTCTCTCTGTCTCTCTCTTTCTCTCAAATAAATAAATAAAATCTTAAAAAAAAAAAGATGAGCAGTTTGTTTTTCCAAAATCATTCTTTTTTTTTTTTTTTTAAAGATTTTATTTATTTATTTATTTGACGTAAAGAGACACAGCGAGAGAGGGACCACAAGCAGGGGGAGTGGGAGCGGGAGAAGCAGGCTCCCTACAGAGCAAGGAGCCCGATGCGGGGCTCGATCCCAGGACCCTGGGATCATGACCTGAGCCGAAGGCAGACGCTTAATGACTGAGCCACCCAGGCGCCCCTCCAAAATCATTCTTGTATGGAGAGCATGATTTCCTGGGTATAGTCTCCAAGGAAAACCTTGAACGATTATTATCACCTCTTTTCTTTCTCTGTCTTCTCAGAGTTTTTTGATATTTCCACTTCTTTTTTAAAAAAGTGTAATAGTACACAGACAGTCACCTCTGCATTATGCAACCAAGTGCGATGTTTCAGTAGGCAAGCCTACTTAACTGTAACCCCATTTCCCGAACACTCGTTATGTGCCAGGTGCTGTGATGAGCACTCCATACATGATTTCTGCTGCTCATAACCACTCTGTACTTAGAGATTATTATCTCCACCTTGTAAGGAAATGGACTCAGAAAAGGTAACTTCCTTCCTAAGAACGTGGGGCTGCTAAGTGGGAGAGACAGGCTTTGTTTGGATCCAGGCCCCTCTGAATTAAAAGCCAGGCTCTTCCCATGGAACCCACCTGCGATCGTGTGGTCTGAGAATACAGACAGCTAGCCTCAGGCCCTGACTCACAGACACCTTGAAGATTTCTCTCCGTCCATTTTAACAAGCCGACAGTTCCTTCAGTGGAAAGTTTTGTACGCTTGTTGTTGTTGTTGTTTTAATTTAAGAACAAGATTACGATACAGACTCAGGGGACCAGGTGCTTTGGAAATCAGCCATTTTTCATCAATCTGTCACTTACAGTTACAGCTGTTCCACTTTCCGTGTGACACGTCTGACAAATGGTTGTGCTAACAACAAAGTTATTGCGCTCTGTGTAATGTGGTGGCAATTATCCTTGTAAACTCGCATTCTAAACAACCTTTGTTCAGGACAACTGCTGATGTCTTACTGGATTTATGGGGCTCTCTTTTATCTTGCTTTGCCTGTGTGTGCACATGTGCTCACAGGGTTGGCTGATGCCAGAACTGGGATCTCTGGTGGTGGGATGTAGACCACAGCCTGCATGTGTGCCGAGGGGTCATGCTGCTCCCTGGCCAGTCACCCTGGTAGTCAGGCCCAGAAGTCCTTAAAGAGTAGAGAGAGACACAAAAGCCAGTGGGCTTTTGAAGTAATGGTATTTTGTGAATTTTTCTTCTTTGCATTGAGTTTTACATGTGTTGGTAATAGTATTTCTTGGCTATTCTATGACATTGTATTAACCATAATACAGATTATCCAGAAGCCTTCTGTTGATTCTCATCTCTGCTCTCTGGCACTGAATATCTCATTATAACTTGGCCAGTTCCCCGGAGAATGCCAGGAAGCAGGAACACTATTTTCAAGCTTGCCCACCTTTCTCAGTTCTGATCAGAAGTTGCAGGGGCACCTGGGTGGCTCAGTTGGTTAAGCATCTGACTCTTGGTTTCGGCTCAGGTCCTGATCTCGGGGTCGTGAGATGGAGCCCTGTGTTGGGCTCGGTGCTCAGTGGGAAGTCTGCTTGAGATTCTCCCCACGCCCCCACTCTTTCTCTCTCTCTCTCTTTCAAATGAATAAAAATCTTAAAAAAAAAAAAAAGTTGCAACAGTAAGAGGCAAAAACTATTGGCTAAAATGAGTTTTTGTGATTAGCTGTGGAGGTAGATGATCTACGATGTCTCATTTCTATTCTGGCGTCTTGACCCTGGCCAGGGGCAAGGCAGCCCCCACCCTGATCTCCCTGCCTTCCTCACGTGGGTCTTTGGTCTCCTGCCAGGGCTCGCCATGAGATGTGGTGAATGGACTGCTTACATCTTTCTGCTCATCTCCTGTGTGCTGGTGGTGCTGAGAGGACCCCAAGGCCACCCTAGCCCTCTGTGTGATACCTGGGAAGAATGTCTGCCATTCAGCAAGCACGTACCAAGTGCCTGCCCAGCAGACTCCCAGCTGTGTGCTAAGGACACATATACCGTGGGCGGCACTCTAGGGAGTCCAAGGGCCGGAGGGGCTGGGGGCAGTGGGAGGAACGGACAGGTCCCATCACCCACCAGCTGGTGACTGGCCCTCTGTGGGCCCAACCTTGCCCAGGCCTCTGAGGGAGCCCTCAAAGAAGGAAGGATTGTCAGGATTGTCAGGAAGAAAGAGTCTCTTTATCTGGGATGTTTCAGACTAGGGACTGTCTTGGGGAGCTCTCCAGGGAGAATTTGATGGTGAGGAGACAGTTTCCATTTTCCTAATATGGGCTTTTGTACTTTTCTGATTCTTTCCTCATAATGTCATTGCTGTCATCCTGTCATTATAATTAAGCCACATTCATTTCCTTTCCCTCTGATAATGGCAGGGGGTCTAGACATTGTACTCCTACTCCAGACACTCTCCAACCCCTCCCCCGCCGCCCCCCCAGTTGAACATCGGTCTCCTACCTCAGCACCACACATCTGTCTCTTTGGATTCATTCCTCTGTTGCCAGTCCTCCCCTACGTCAGCTTCTCAAAACCACAGCAGAATGTCAGTGCGGAAGGGACCCTATGAGTCTCCATTTAGCCCACAGCAGCCCTCCTTCTAGTTCTTCTACTGGGCCAGATCCCTTCCTGGTCCGTGTTTCAGTCAAGCTCCCTCTGAGCCCAGCAGATACCCGAGAGTCACTGGGCTCACCGCTGGTGGCTTCCTTACATCGCCTTCTCTCCTGGGGAAG